ACGCTTGTCCGCTCGCACTGGGTCTCTGTGGTGACTTGCAGATTGCAGTTAGAGAGCTCGTAGTTGTTGCGGGATTGTTAATTTAAAACGAAATTGTCGTGGTAAAATGTCGGAATCAAGAATTGAATGCGGGTGAGAAATTGAGAGAAACTTAGTGGTAGACACATACATACATATACATACATATGCTTCCGTAGTGTACAAGTGCATAAATTTAGAATGATTGGTTGTGATTGTACTCGCTGTTGTAAAATTTAACAGATAAACTTTATAGTATCCGGTGTGGAATGGCATTTGAGTAATTATGTTGAATGCACAGTGGGCTAGTGCGTGAGTAATTTAGTTGAATGCACAGTGGGCTAATGCGTGGTTTCGAAATTAAGTCATTGGCTGTTTCTACCCAAGACGAGGACTTAAGTCCTACTTCGCCCTTTCAGAAACTGTACAATTTTTCCCAAAATCAGTTAACCACACCATCAAGGATCTGACAAACAAACTGAGTTTACAGTTACTTATTGAAAGAACATGAAGCCACCTTTTCCATGCATAGATTCATTCATCAGTAATAGTTGAGTTAAAAAAAAAAACAATGCATGGTAAGAGAACATCCCTCGCCGGAAAATGTTGAAACCTCTAAATATATATCTGAGAACATCAATACGTACACCACAGAGCTCAAGTAATAATTGGGGGCCAAAAAGTATTAATGTACCAAGTCCTGAATTCAGATTTCTCCAAACTGCATAAAGAAGCGAAACGTATGGGTCTGGTAGTGAACGAAAGAAAGACGAAATATCTTCTGTCATGAAAAAAGAAGTCAGAAGAAGTTCGCGACTCGACTCCCACATCACTGCTGACAGTCATAACCTTAAAGTTGTAGATAACTTGGTCTATCTTGGAACCAAAATTAACAGCAACAATAATGCCAGCCTTAAAATCCAGCGTAGAATCACACCCAATAGATGCTACTTTGGACTGAGCATGCAACTGAAAAGAAAGGTCCTCTCTCGACGGGCAAAGACCAACCTCTAAAAGTCATTCATCATATCCGTCAAGCTACATAGTGCAGAAGTGTTGACGATGGCAGAATCTGATGAGTCGGCTTTGGGAGTCTTCAAGAGAAAGGGTCTGTGTAAAATGTATGGTTCTTTGCGTACTGGCGAATACCGCAGACAATGGAACGATGAGCTGTACGAGCTGGCGACATTGACGTTGGCTAGGTTATGCCGTCCGAAAGAATGAGAGCACTTCAGTTGCCGCGGGTGGAAGCAGAGAAAGAGGAAGACCTCCACTACGTTGGGAAGACCATTTGGAGAAGTACATGGCTTTATTTGATATTACCAACGGGTGCTAATAAGCTAGAGGAAGGAATGCATGGCGAGCTGTTGCTAAGTCGGCTATAATCACGTCGGAAAAGAAGAAGAACTTATAGCCACCCTACATTCAGAGGGTCTGACATTCCTTATCGGGAGGCTCGAATGGTGGCCTTCTGAATGGTAGAACTAATGCGGCGGCAGCAATTACAAAGTAAACTGGGGTCAGTTTCTATCCATTGATCCTCCACTGAACAGACTTTTTGGGAAACCAAAAAGCAGACTTTGACCAAAGTATATCACAGTTGAATCTTATAACTTGTACGGGTATTTAATCAATTGGAAACTATAAAGATATGCAGCTGATCACTTAACGTGTTGGCAGTTCTATTTGAACCTCGTATAAATGCCTGTACACAGAAAGCTCACTCTAGGAGAGTTGTGCATCAAATATTCATATTCAAGACTGAAAAGTTTCAATGCTTGTGTTGTGACCAGGACAATGTGGTTATCATGGATTAAAAGAAAGTATCGGCAGTTTATCGCGTTAAAAAAGAGGCTCTCTACACGCAGGCACGCAGGGAGGTTGGGCGTACCATCTAACGACTTCTGCAGAACCTTGAGCGGGAGAGCCGGAGCAAAAATACAATGCTTGCTCAGTTTTGCAAGCGCCACACACTGGTTTAACTGGTGGATGTGGTACACTAGAATCGTTTTTCGCCTACCAGATCACTGCAGCGTTTTTCAGGCAGAGATTTCTGTAGTTATAGAGAGCCGCCTGGTTATGAAGGAGACAGGTTTTTACTACAAAATAAATATTTATCAATACCTAGATAGCTAAGCGGCTCTTAAAATCACCAAATTCATTTAGAATCAAATCAAAGTCTGTGAAATAGTGTCTTAATCTGTTGGTAGAGCAAGCATGGTACTAAACGATAAGTCTGCAATGAGCTTCAAGATGCAAGCATATCTGGTATAACTGCGAGGCAGATGCATTACTACTGTGGGCCAAAAGGTGGACGAATTTGTTTGTAAAATTAAAAGCCTTTATTTCTTCTTCTACACTGATTTCGTCGCCTTCAAAATATTCCCCTGCCGATGCAATGCGCTTATGCCAACGCTTTTTCTAATTATCGAAGCATATCAAATAGTCGCGTTCTGGCATGGCCTTCACAGAGCGGCTCGATTCACGTTTAGTCTCCGCAATCGGCTTAAAATGGTGTTCTCGAAGTGGTCTCTTGAGTTTTTGGAAGAGCCAGAAGTCACATGGGGCTAAGTTCGGTGATTGGGGAACGATATTCGTGGAAGTTTTAGCGAATTGGTTACAAAGAATGAGTGCTATGTGAGACGGTGCATTATCGCGATGCAAAAAACAAGACCCATAATTTTGGCCTTTTTTCCTTCAAAACCATTTTTACAGATCCTTTTGATATTCGAAACATATCAGTAAGGTGTCTAACAGTCTATTGACAATTTGTGAGTACTAATTTCTTAATTCCATGGTAGTGTTACACATCCGTTGACGTTGATGGTCGTCCCGAGCGCTCCAAGTCATCAACACGATTCCGACCCACTTTGAAGTCTTCGTACCACTTATACGCGTTCTTCTGCGACAAAGTTGAGTCCACAAAGTTTTTCTGTAGCATCCTCAATGTTTCAGCTGCTGTAAATTCGTTCCGCAAACAAAATTTGATCGCACTCTTTTTCTCAATGAAACCCGACATTATAAAAATCNCGCTATTTCCAATTATCAAAGCATATCAAATAGTCGCGATCTGGTATGGCCTTCACAGAGCGCGCCGATTCACATTTAATCTCCGCAATCGGCTTAAAATGTTGTACTCGAAGTGGTCTCTTGAGTTTTTGGAAGAGCCAGAAGTCACATGGGGCTAAGTTCGATGGTTGGGGAACGATATTCGTGGAAGTTTTAGCGAATTGGTTACAAAGAATGAGTGCTATGTGAGACGGTGCATTATCGTGATGCAAAAACCAACAATTGTTGGCCCATAATTTTGGCCTTTTTTCCTTCAAAAACATTTTTACAGATCCTTCTGATATTCGAAACATATCAGTAAGGTGTCTAACAGTCTATTGACAATTTGTGAGCACTAATTCCTTAATTTCATTGACGTGTTGCACATCCGCTGACGTTCATGGTCGGCCAGAGTGCTCCAAGTTATTAACACGTTTCCGACCCACTTTCAAGTCTTTGTACCACTTATACGCGTTCTTCTGCGACAAAGTTCAGTCCGCAAAGGTTTTCTGTAGCATCCTCAATGTTTCAGCTGCTGTAAATTCGTTCCGCAAACAAAATTTGATCGCACTCTTTTTCTCAATGAAACCCGACATTATAAAAATCGCCGAGGGCACTTTTAGTCGTTTAGTAAAGACAAGTCTAACTTAAATACCAATGATGACGTTGTCATCAATTTTGACGTAGATGTCAATAACAGTAGTACCCACATTAAAAAAAAAATTAACCCGAAATATTAAACGCGCGAAGCTCAAATTAAAAACTCGTCTTATTTTTTACGCACAGTAGTATTACGATTATATATATAATTGGCGCTTTGTAACCGCTGAAGCGATTTTTCGGTCGAGCTCCTCCTCCATTGGTGGATGGATTGATGTTTTTCCAACAAATGAAGGAACCTACAGTTTATAATAAGCCACATCCGAACGGCTGATAGGTTATTTTTTATGAGGAGCCTTTATTTCATGTCCGAAATACACTTGGAGAACTCGACATTCCCTGATGGGAGGCGGCCGCATTTAGAAAATTTAACTTCATTTTTTATTTAAATAAATATTCGATAACTTTTGGATGTTAGAGGCACCGGAATATGAGCTCGTGCCTTCCGAATGTCAGTACGCAATGCTAACCGCTCGGCTATCGCGGCCGACACAATTCGGCACCACTTTACAATTACATTCAGGTCAAAAAAAAAAATATATATCTCTGGTATACTTGTCTTGATTTGAAAAATATATCAAGAAAATAGCTTAAAACCGCTTGAAACAATCCCAAACTTTTTCAATAAAAAAGAAACTTGGCCGATACTGAATATGGGCCCTGCATGCCGATTATTGAAATTTAAAAGAAATTGCGTGAGTACCCTAATAGGAGTGCTAACGGTTCACTGTACTGCTGGTAGACACGCCCGTTATCTGTGCGTACCATACAAAGACTACTGCAAAAGTTGCTAGAAGGTTTTTGAAAAAGAGGAGGCGGGCGTAGAACATTGTAGAGGAAAAGATTCGCTGAAGTAAAGATTAAAATCTAAAGCGAATTTCTATATACTCGTATATACGTAAGTTAGAATGTCATTCGGTGCATTTGATTGCCAGAAGCGTTCACGGATGTTGTAATGCGACCCTTGACTTACGCTGCTACACGATCGAAACGAAACTGGGGTGAGTTTACAGAGACACAGTTGTTAGTCACTTTGAGTTGCAGCTCAATTCATTTTCGACTCAAACCCACAACCGACCGCCATGCTCGCCGCACTAAACCATCATCAGCGATAGTTTAATTGCCCATAAATATTATTTAACCGCACAATACAATAATACGGACGTGCACCCGCATAAGAGGGAGTGACGCATAAAGTTCTATGCAAATCGCGTGAGCATTCAAAAGCTGAGTAATTTGTTATGCGCTGCACCTCGCGCTGAGTACGAGTGCTGTGCGCCATCACAGCTCAGTTACGGCGTGCAAGTTATTCGTAGCGTTACGCAGTGCTCGCTGCTATCGTTCAAGTAATAAAACAAATAAGCAATAGCAATAACAATAACAAAAATAAAAGTAATAATATTTCATAAACACTGTGTGTGACAGTAGAGCCTTATCGGGCGAGAGTGTAGTGCTACAACCGATGTATGCGAATTATCCTTGCGATTTTTTTTCTTCAACATTTTTATTATGGTGCGTGCGTGCGTGCTTAATATATGTGCGTTTGTATGTATATATGCTCATACGTGCGGGTATTTCCGATATGACGTGTCCTGCGTACAGGCTTAAACCATTGTGAATTAAAGCAATAAATATATACACACATACTCATATATACGTGTATGTGTAGATGGATGTATGTGTAGTTATAACACCAGGATTTAGTAACGCAATAACACAGTGTTGAAACGTGCACGCATTTTACATTTTTTTTTCACATTTTATTCCATGTTTTTTTTTGTTTTTGTTTTACACCTGCTTTCACATACTTATAAAGTCAACGGCGCGGCAAAACTGCCACAACAGCAAATATACATACAAACAAAAAATAATAAACAAAGCAAAAAAAAAATGGATAAATTGTTGTCCCTTTTCGAAAATGCTGACCCATTCAAAACCTGGTGGCCAGCCATTGCAGCGCTCGTGTTCGGTCTTGTTATAATAGTGCGGTAAGTGTGCGTTTGTGTGTTTGTGTGTGTGAGTGTATGACGAAATCGAGAGTCCATACAAAATCCAATTTAACACAAACTACCCACTGCAAAAAAAAAGGAGTACAAAATAATTGCACGGTTGAATAGTTGAATACCGTCGTTACAATTTAGTTTACATGCGCAATTTTTCCATAATTTTTTCCTCCTCGTTGTTTTTGTTCTGCATATATTATGTGTGTAGCTGGTTGCTGGTTGCTGGTTGTAAAAAATGTGCGCAGTGTTGTGTTCGTGGAAAATAAAATTGAATAGCGATAAAGTTTTGTGAATTGTTGAAATTGCTGCTAATGGAAAGTTAAGCAGAAACATGGCCATAAATCAGTTTAATGCTTTATGATCCTAGTAAAATGTTGGCAAAGTGATATTTGGAAAGTTGTGCGTGTCGTGCAGCAGCCAGAGTTTGTAAGGATTTCGAGTGTTAAATGTGCTGAAAAGACTTATAAATTACAAACTACTCTTTGTTTATTAATGAAAAGATAATAAGAGATAAAAAATATACATACTAACTACGATAGCAGTAATGAATGTCAGGGAATATCTTCTTCTTCTTTCTCTTCTTCTTATTGTTCCTTTTATTCTTCTCTTACCTCTTCTTCTTCTACATCTACTTCCTTTTCTACTTCTTTTGCACTTCTTCTGCTTTTACGTTTTCTTCTTCTACATCATCTTCAACTTCTTCTTCTTCATCTTTTTCTTCTTCTTCTACATCTGTTTCCTTTTCTACTTCTTCTACACTTCTTCTGCGCTACTTCCTCTTCTACTACATCTTTTTATATTGATCTTCTTCTTCTACTTTTTCTTCTCCTCCTACATCAACTTCTTTTTCTTCTTCTTCTACAATTCTTTTATTACATCTTCTTTTTCTACTTCTTCTTCTATTTCCTCTTCTTCTTTTACTTTTTAATTTACTTCTTGTTTAACTTCTTATCATACTTCTTCTTCTACTTCTTCTGTTTCTTCTTCTTCTACTTTTTTTCTAATTCTTCTTATTATTCTTCTGCTTTGTCTTTTTCTTCTTCTTCTTTTTCTTCTTCTTCTTCTTCTCCTTCTTCTTCTACATCTACTACATAAAAACTACGATAGTAGTAATGAATGTCACGGAATATCTTCTTCTTCTTTCTCTTCTTCTTATTATTCCTTTTATTCTTCTCTTTCCTTTTCTTCTTCTACATCTACTTCTACTTTTCTACTTCTTTTACACTTCTTTTGCTTTTACTTTATTTTCTTTCTCATATTTTTCTTATTCTTCTACATCTACTTCCTTTTCTACTTCTTCTGCAACTCTTTTACTTCTTTTTTTACTTCTTGTTTTACTTTTTTTTGCACTTTTTCTTCTACTTCTTCTTTTACTTCTTCTTCTACTTTTTCTTCTTTTCCTTCTTCTTCTTATTTTTCTTTTTCCACTTCTTCTTACATCTACTTCCTTCACAATCTTCTGCTTCTACTTTTTTTGCTTCCACTTCTTCTGCTTCTACTTCATCCTCTTCTTTTTCACATACTTCCTTTGTACTTCTTCTACACTAGATCTACTTCTGCTTCTTCTACTTCTTCATCTTTTCCTTCTTTTACTTCAGGAAGTAGATCTTCTCTTATTACATCAGCATCTTCTTCTTGACTTCCTCTATTTCTTCTTATTCTCTTTCTTGTTAACCTGCTTCTACCACATCTTCTTCTACTTTTTCTAAACCTTTTTTCTTCCTATTCTTCTACATCTAATCCCCCTTCTACTTCTTCTTCTTTTTCTAGTTCTTCTTTACGATTACAGTCGAGTTAACAATTGCGCGGTATTCAGTCCTTTACTTCGTTCGATGGATGGTTTGGTGTCAGGTCCCTCTACATCTGGTCCTTAAAACGGATTAGAGAATTTCGTTTTCCTCTACCTGCAGCGACAAGAACAGTATTAAAAGCTTTCAAAGCTGGAATATTCTTATCCATTCGGATCACATGTGCTTGCCAGCATACAGCGGCTATGCTCTTGATTCGACGAACTATATCGATTTCGTCATATCTGGAGCAGCTCTCGGAAATTCCTACTGCTGACTCCTCGGATGTCGACATCGTCCACGCTTTTACGACATATACAATAGTAGGACGAGTATGATGATGGACTTGTAGAGTTTAGGCTCCGTTCGTCGAGAGAGCACTTTACTTTTGATGGGCCTACTCAGTCCTATCGTTGTTTTTGGAGCTAATACTAGTTCCGACATAGATGAAATTATCTACGACCTCGAAGTCACAAATACGGTAACTGATTGTTTGACGACAGGAGATACTTCATTTTTTCATTAGCTCTCGATCCCAACTTAACTGATGCTCTTCGCTTTCCTATGCAGTCTGGAAAGAGCAGAGCTTACAGCGCGGTTATTGAGGTCAATGATGCATCGGCATGCGTCAACAGTTGTACCTTCTCTATGATCCGGCCTTCAAAGCTCTTCAAGCTACGCAGTTCAGCCACTCGCTCTTTTAAGCTGCGTATACATATCGCCTCCTCTCGGTATCTGTTCGACGATTTTTTTATGCTTGTATTCTAGTCCTACAGTCAAATATATTTCGGGCACCGATGCCGTTGAAGCCTTAAAACATGTGTGAATATTTCGCCGAAGAAACTGAATTTTCCGTCTAAAGTGCTGTAGATACATTCTTTGACATCGATCGGGACATCGGGAGGGTGGTGAAGTTAGCCTTTCGTCGTACGAGTATACCAGCCAGATGGACGGTGGCACTCAACAGAGGGATCAGACCTTTCGGTTACATACGCCTAAAACGTGAATACAGACATCCTAAGTACTTTGGAATCGAATGCCAAGCGCTCCGAGTGAATATCTGACATAAAATAAAAGGACCCTAATAAAAATCCAACTCCCGCGCGGAGGTGTCTAAGAGATATGTCTTTCCGTTTTTATTTTATATATCCAAGTGAAAAAAAATTTCAACAACTGAAAAAATTAAATAATTTAATTCGAAACCTCAGCTGGGAATTTAATTTGGTTGTTTTTTTTTGTTTGTTTTTCAATACAACAAAAAAAAAAACAATCTACAGCTTTTGACGCTTAATTGCACTCAATGCTCTGCAGGCAGGTCTAAAAGCGTTGGACAATTGAAAATATCAACAACAGAAAGTTGACTGCTGTCATTGTAATTGCCAAACCGCAACATTCAACAACATGCAACATGCAACATGCAACATGTAACTTGCATTTACCACACCCACATACAAGAGCAGGCCGTCCAAGCAGGAGACCGAATACACGCAATTCGTAGAGAGGGTACTTAGCGAAGGCTTACGCACACATATCAAAATGTCACATCACTTGTACAAACTGTTCATTAATTAGCGATTTCACGCGCTGCCGCCGCCCGAAAGCAAAGTGAGCATTCACTGTGCATGTGCGCAGCTATCTAGGCAGTTTGTTGGGGCATAGACGACACCAGATATGACAGCTCGAGGGTTTGCGTAGAGGCGGCAAACCGCGTAACCTTGTTAATTGCAACAATAACAACAACAACAACAACAGCAAAGATACCAATTTGAAGCATTGTTGTTTATCCAACTATTTCCCACACACTGACACAAACACTCAACGCAACTCACATAAATTTCACGCACACTCACCACACTCCCACCTCTCTTCTTTCTCTTTACAGCACACTGATGAGCGGCCAACGTTGCCCCAATGACAATCAAATACGCGATCAAATAGTTGTTGTGACAGGCGCGAATAGTGGTATCGGACTGGAGATAGCTAAAGCTTTGGCGGCGCGTGGCGGACGCATTGTATTGGCTTGCCGCAACATGGCCGCCGCGGAACGAGCGGCAAGGGTTATCAAACGAGAATTGGAATGCCAACGCCTCCATCCCACACACTCCATCGCCGCATCAGATGCGAAGTATTTTGTGGAGGCTCGCTACCTGGATCTACGCTCCTTTGAGAGTGTTCATCGTTTTGCGCGTCGCATCACCGGCGAATTCGAGCGCATCGACGTGTTGATAAACAATGCGGGCATTATATTCGGGCCACTTGGCGCGCGCACCATTGACGGCTACGAGCTGCATCTGCAGGTGAATTATCTATCACATTTTCTACTCACACAATTGCTATTGCCACACTTGCAACGCTCGCCTAGCGGTGGACGGGTGGTGAATGTGACGGCACATGCTCATGCAGCGGCCAAAATCGATTTTGACGATCCACTCAATGTAGGCACATGGGCGGTGAATTTCCATGCACGTGACGCATTTGCTCACTCCAAGTTGGCGGTATTGTTGGCCACACGCTGGTTGGCACGACAAATGAAAGGTAAGTGCATAGAGACACACCGTAATACGATGGTAGTTGTGTGTAGTGTGGCAGGTAAAGAAGCGCGCTCTGAAGAGCTCTTGTATGTATGCAAGTATATTAAATAAAAAAGTTTGGCAAAATGCCTGACTGCCAACATGCGGAGGGAGGCGGCCCAAAAATCAGTCCAACCATCAACACGCGACCCTTTTGTGCTTTGTGGCTTTTCTTTGTGGGCGGTTCGTTTTACAACTTCTACCTTGTCTTGCTATCGCTGCATGATTGCTATAATTTCAGTTATGAAAAGAGAGTTTCGTCGAAAACCGGTTATTTTGAGCTGAAAAGAAACGGCAAAACTTTCCTAATTCTGTAGAATAATAATACTAGGCAATAGCAGAAGCGACTTCGGCCAAGCTCCTCCAGCAATCGGTGGTGTGAGCGACTTGATGTTTTTCCAACAAATGGAGGGACCTACAGTCTACTCTAAGCGGCCTCCGTATCAGAAATGGATTTTAATGAAGAGAAATACATTCGGAGGGCTTGCCATTCCCTGTCTCAGGACTAAAACGAAGGAACGATCCCTGGCCTTCCCAATGGCCGTGCGCAATGCTAACCACTCTGCTATTGCGATCGCTCTTTTCCACTTACAAAAGGCAATTTTAAGCTCATTTAGATCGCTTACGACAAAATTGTTTATTCTTTGCTTCTTGAGCGATTTTATGTCTCATTGTATCTAGTCTGTATTCTTCTCAAGCAGTTTCAGTGGCTTCAAGAATTTCACCTTTAAGGTCTTGTATCGACGTTGGTCTGCTAACATAGATCTTATCTTTCACGTGACCCCAAAGGAAGAAACTGCAAGATGTTAAATCATAAAATCGCAGTGGCCAATAGTGATGGACTCTTCGAGAAATGAAACCGTCCGGAAACTTTTCCCTTAAAAGATTAAAAGTTTCGTTGCTTGTGTGACACGCAGAGCAGTTTTGATGAAAAGCAACGTTGTCCAGAACAATGCCAACCAGTTCCGACCATAAAAATTCGTTAATCATCTCTCGCTAGCGCAATCCGTTCACCGTAAAGTAAGATCCAATGAACCATCCGGACCATAAACCGCCCCAAACCGTTAAACGTTGAGAATGGGGATGCTATTCAACAATAAGTTATGGTTTTTCCGAGCCACCGATGTGACAGTTATGTCTATTGAAGTAGCCATCGATGTGTAAATGCGCCTCATTACTCAAGATGATTTTTTGATGAAATTCCGGATCATGCATTTCAAGGACCCAATCAGCAAAGACACGATGTTGTCGCTTAAGTTCTTGTGTGAACTGAACTTTATTACCCTTAAGATCCAAATCTTTATGGAAAATACGGTGAAATTACATTTTTGGAATGCTCAATTCCAAAGAACGACGAGGAATGGACAAATCTGGGTTTTCTTCAACACTTTTGGGCCACAGCAGCAATACTCTTGATTGTATGGAGCGACGTGCACTTGCTTTGCCCTTCACATCACTAACTTGTTCCAACAGCTGCATTTTTTCCACAAATTTCTGGATTGCGGTCCTACAAGTTTCTTCACGAAGAGCACAAAATGGTTTACTTTTACGAACCGTCTCTGCATTTCATTAGAGAACATTAATAATTTTAAAACGTTGCTGAAGCGTTTATCGTTTCATTTTGTCAAAAATCTACCGGAATATCAGGCTTTTCAAAATAACATCTCCTGTTAGAAAATCCTTGATAAAAGCTCCATTTTTTGACCTAAAAAGCCCAGTTTTTTGCCATTGCGAATCTCCGGTGCACCGTGTACTTTGCGAAATAATTATAAAAGTAAAAAAATTATTAATAAATTCAAATTTTTACCTTTCCTTCGAAATTATCGGTTACTCTGATGTTTTTTGTATATCTGCAGGATTATACTAATTTCTGCATAAATAAAACAATTTTCTTTTCAGAACTAAAATTTTTTTAGCGTCGCTGCAACTCTCTTCTACTCTAAGCCTCTCTTGTAATCACTCGTTCAAATAAATCGCTTTAATGAGTACTCCCGTCAATGCAATCGGTTCTCTGACTTTCGCCAAAACTATTCCCCATGTAGATAGGTAGGTATGTATGTATTTGCATAGACCGTTACTTTGTTGACTTAGCGCTTACCAGCGCTTGTATTGTACCTTCTTTGTGGCTGTTGCTGTAGGTACTCGTACTTTATTGCCTTTGCCGTTCTTTATTCACCTTGTTTGTTTGTTTGTTTGTTTTTGTAATTTTGGCTGGTTGTATTTTATATGCTTGCTTTGTTGTTGTTGTCCTCTGCCCTTGCTCGTCGCTAGCAACTTCAACACGTTTTGCCAAAAGTGATTTTAATTGAGTTTAAATCGTTTTTGCGCTTTTCATATTTTCATTTTATAATTCTTTGCCTTTTCTTGTTGTTATTTTGTTATGTTCTTTTTTATGTTTTTGTTTGCTTTTATGTGTATTGCTGTTATTCTGCGTTCATATGCTTTATCATGTTCCCTTCCGCTTTTCATAGGCACTCCACTGACGGTCAATTGTTGCACACCTGGTCTTGTGCGCGGCACCGGCCATTTACGCAGGTAAGCTGAGCTTTCAAATTAATTATACAATTTTTGTGTATATGCTTGTATATACGTAGGTATTTTGTGTTGTAGCTTTATTTGTTAAGAGTTAATTGATTTCATTTTAGGCTTCAGAATTTAGAAGACTCATTTTTCTGTGCGTTGATTGCTCTCTCTTATTTTATTTCTTTATTAATGCAAAAAGGAAAATTGGGAGAATTAGTTGGATGTGAGCTTTTAATCAATTCATTTGAACCAACTGTGCTAGAAAGCTGGGGTATCCGAGATTTACACAGCTAACAATTGACTTTAACGGTAAAGAGTGGGCATAATAATAATTTAAGTAAAGAGTTTTCCAATAAGATGTGCTATTTTGAATAGTCTGCTATGTAGACGTCACTTTGAAGCTGTAAATTTTTGACGTTTGACAAGTAAAAACTAAGTCCATAATAAAAACAGAACGAAACCCACTTCTGCACTGCATCATAATTGATGATTTAAATTCACTATAAAAATGATGAAAACCTGGCAGAGACGGTTCGTAAAACTAAAATATTTTCCGGCCGTTGTGAAGCACCTTGTAGGTCATCAATCCAGAAATTTTTGGAAAAAATGCAGCTGTTGGGACAAGTTAGTGATGTGAAGGGCAAAGCAAGTGCTCGTCGCTCAATAACAATCAAGAGTATTGCTGCTGTGGCCCATTCTCCGTCGTACTTTAGAATTGGGCATTGCACTAAAGTTTACACCGTATTTTGCATAAACATTCAGGTCTTCAAACTTATCGCAAGAACTCAAGCCAGTCAGTTATCAACAACGTCTCCGTTGATGGGGTTCTCGAATTGCATGAAATAGAATTTCACCGAAAAATCATCTTACTGAAGAGACCCAGATGTCCACCTTGATGGCTACTTCAATAAGCAAAATTGTCGCTACTGGGTTTCGCAAAGCCCAAGATTTGTTTTTGGAAAGCCTCTCCATCCGTGCGGTTTATGGTCCGGCGAGGTCATTGAATCTTGCTTTTTCGAAAACGAATCTTAAGCAACAATTACGGTTAATCCATTGCGCTATCGAGAGTCGGTTAATGATTTTTTGTGGCCATAATTGGCAGAGACCTGAGCAAAGTTTACTTTCAACAAGATGGCAAAGCCATCGAACTTTTAAGGGCAGAGTTTCCGGACAATGTTATTTCTCAAAGAAGTGATCGATTTGTGATTGTCCCCTTGTGATTTTTTCCTTTGATCCCTCTGGAAAGATGAGATGTAAGCCAACAGATCAACGTCGATTCAAGACCTTAAAGGTGGAATTCTTAAAGCCCTTTAAAGCCTTTCTGTGCATACAACAGCCACTTTCCGATTTGGTGATGCGAAATTTCATAAAAAGTATAAACGAATATAATTGTTTTCCATTATTAATTGCAGATCTTCCGCTATATATTGAAATAAATATCCGATAATTTATCTCAAAAATAGCCATTTTTTCTTTGAAAATCAAAATAACACCTCTAATTGGAAAACCCTGTATATATGTATGGTGTACGACTTGGCATATTTTAGCGGTCGATATGCGTACATTCGGCTGCACTCATAGTGTACCTTTTGAGTGAAGAACATTACTGTGTCAAGTAACTGGTAGGTTCATTCCTGCGTCCTGTTTTAAAAGGACACACTTCTTAGCTAGTTCGTCAGCTATTTGATTGCATTCAGTGTCCATATGGTCTGGCACCTAGTAAATGTAAACTCTTCTTCTTTCCAGCAGTACTTTATCCCCTTTTTTTGCGCGATCGCAGACGACTTCTACTTATATGAAATAAAGGCCTTAATGGGCCAATGGTTTGACACCTTAAATGACTTTGAGCACATTTAACTAAAGCCTCCTCTCCGTCGTTTATTTTGGGACCATCTCTAGAAATATCAAGAACTTTGTCTGCATATTTCTGGCCTTTACTCTAACCATTCGCCTCTATTGTAGCTGTCAACAGCTTCTCGAAAATCAGGCGCGGAATTACGTAGTCAGAACGTACACTTAGGGGAACTGCTATACTTCTGTGCCCCTTAGTCCTGATTTTTAACTGCCTTAAGGCATATAGCCTCGCAGCAGAATGCCCTGTTTACAGCTACTAGATGTGCTGGTGAAATTCTAAAATTCGGTTGTAGCGCTGCAGATATGCTGTTATTTCGAGTGCCCCGGTGATGTTAATCATTGAAAGTTTGAAAACCCAGTCCGTTGCCTTCGGCTATATTAAAGCTGCTTATAGATTAGCGTAAAAATCGCAACGAGAATCCAGTAAGAGATACCGAGAAAGAGATTCCAATTGCTGCCCTACACCCGTTTAAGGTATATAGGGCCGTTGATGTGTTCTTCACTCGCTTTTCTTCACTGATTCTCCACGACAATTAGCAATTAAGCACTGACACCTTCTGTTTGATCCTAGCTAGAATGTTGTATTTCTTTTTGAATAGAGCCAGATTTGCTTTATCAGGAAGGTTATCCCTAAGTACCGCTGAAATGGTCCAGTTGCTAATGACTCTAAGTGCAAAACTATTCAAAAATCTGAAGGCTGCCAAAAAGTTATTGTCCACTATAACTGAGATATCACCAGCATACACCTGTAAGCATGGTTGCTCCCCTTTCCATCTTCCTCAGGGAGCCACTAACACCAAAAGGGCCAGAGTAGATGAGGGAGCATCTGTGGAGTTTCTCTGGAAAAAGTTCCTTACATAAATCCAACAGTCTATCACAGATGGCTTAAAAATAATTGTAGATTCCTTAAACTGAGCTGCTGATGAGTGCTCTCAGAGAGCAAGATTACAAGTCGAATACAAACCCGTTAGTTTGCATGTCATGATTGGAGCTTTCCAATTTACTTGGAGCTTAATTTGCTCCACAAAACTGGATGTGTTACTTTACTGCTACAAGATAGTGATCCGCTTCGATTTTGTCCTCCGTTATGAATTTTTCGATTTGAAGACAGCTTGGTAAATTTTCTTGTGCTAGAATCTAGTACGACAGGCTATTATATTTCACGCCCAGGCAAAGCCAAAGCAAAGCTCAGCCTCAACCCAATTGGGAATATTTCATCGTGGAGGCTGAATTGTCCGACTGATGTCCCGAAGACATGGTCATTATCCACCCTGATGTTGAAGTCACCAAGCAAAATTTCGACATCGCTGTCAAAGCAGCTCTTATGAGTACGCTCCAGGCGCTCATAAAAGGTAACTTTATTTACATCGTATCTCTCTTTGATGCGGTTTGCGGCGAGTCATTCATCCACAGGGGTAAATGCCAGTACAGGGCGATGGAGTTTCCCTCCAATCACGCATCCGACACTGAATTGACTCTTTTTTATATGGCTGCTATAGTAAGTGTCACATCATTGCAACGGCCTATAGCACTTTGTTGACGGCGGTGATGTCAGCCTTTTTACAAGGACATCAACGAGCTGGGCAGCGACACTCTCCCAATTAAGGTATCGGGCATTTCCGCAGATGTATGCCCTAAAATTATAGGCTTTAATACATATGCAGTGGTCATTATCAGAAGTGGTGTCCCTCAACCGAGGCATTACACAAATTTTCATTGGAGCTAGTTTCTGCGTGGGGAGAGGGGGTCCAAAATCTACCACACATTCTTGTTAGGTCCATAAGTTTAAATTTTGCACACATTTTTACAGTGAGCTGCTTGCTTCAAGACCAACGGACGCTCGCAACCGCACCTCTGGAGAACGGACGCTGCAATTAGACTTCAGGGAAGCGCTAAGCTTAATATAACGAAGCTTCCTCTCTTTTGACTGCAACCCATGGTGCCATACGGGTTGGTTGCTCATCTTTTCAGGGTTTCCGACGAGAACGCAAAGGTAGAATTCGGGTATATTCCAACTCTAACTGTTTACCCAGAAGCTGGTCTAATATTATATGTTTCTTTAAAATTATTACATTATTTGTATTTTATGTAACTACATACATACACGTATGTGTGCTCACTTTGAAAAAGCATCTATAATGATGACTTGAATTCACACGCATCGCTTCCACTTTGCCCTCATCCCTACAAATGTGTGTCTGTTTATGTGTGCCCTAATGGCATTTCGGAAACACATGAAAGACAATTTATTACGCTCGAATGAGTTTACACTCCAATCTGGGGATTTTCTACACTACATGCATGTAATCGTACGCCTACGTATATATGTAGGTATGTATGTATGCATCTAAATAACAAATGAACGCCAAGAGCTTGCAAGTAAAGTGCCAAAGTACCAAAGTAGCAAGGCAACAGAGTTTCTTTTTGCAAGTGAAAATCAGAAATTGTTAACAAAACAGCAAAAAGGATTAACAATTGTATCTTAAATATGTAAATGAGGCTTAGTGTGTGCGTGTGTGTGTGTGTTCGTGCTTGCGTGCATGCTTGCATAACAGTATTCGCATTTAATTGCCTGTGCGCTTGAGCCTCATCAAAAAACCCCACTTCTGGTGAAGATGGACTGCTGATTTTTAGCTGTTGCTCTTGTTGTTTTTGCCATTGATGTTTTTGCTGTTGATGTTTTTGCTGTTGAAGCTGTAAATTGTATATATATTAAACAAGCGACAGCGCAGCGCATAAATCTCTTTTGCCAACACAACACAAACACAACAACACCGTGCGGCGGGGACTGTGCGGCGGAGGGTGTGCAGCTGTAGGGGAGCGTTGGAGTGGTGGTAAAGAATTTGCACCCAACAAAGCTCTTAACATTTGCTATCAAATACTAAGGCACTAACATGCGCACGCACTCATACAAACACACTAACACATCTGTTTTTGGTGTGCCATTGCATAGTTTAGGGCGTAAAGTGATGCAAAAGCAAATTGCTTTTGGCAGCTTCCGTCAGTGTGGATAGTTCAGCAGCAGCACAAATTATCCGCCCATGCTGGTGCATGCTGGATGCAAAATAGTCAAAGGTTCAAGTTTCGTTTAGGAGAATTAAAAACAAAAAAAAATTATCTAGAATTGTTTCTCTAAATACCATCAATGCGTGGCAGTA